GTTAATTCGGACACCCATAATCCGGAATGATCTATAATCCGGACCTCAAAGCTACAAACTTTCTGCGCATGCGTCGCTTTGACGCATGCGCGTAAGACCTTTACCGTTGCGAATTTGCGTGTGCGCGTGCGCAAAATATGTTTACGAATGCGCGTTTAATGTATAACGGACGGGATAAGCTAAGCTAAAATTATCTAATTATCTATTTCAGTTAATGTTGCAAATTGCGTTGTTCCTTAATCTTCGAATTGGATCCGGATTATTATTTTTTGCAGACTGTTAGAGCAATTTTATAAAAGTAAGCTTGAACTTTCGATTATGTCAAATAGAATTTCCGATATATATTTACTAATATGTAAAGGATATACAAAGCGAAAGTATCTTTCGGAGTCCATTAAACAAAAAGTAGAATTGCTGCAAAAAATGGATAAAGGCATATCCTTTGTTTATGTAAACTTTAACGTTTGTTTATGTAAACTTTAACGTTTGTTTATCTAAACATTGTTTATCTTTAACACCGGGCGGCGTGCAATGAATTGGAAGTTGATCCAGCACTATCCTTATCTTAAGAGCAGATGTTTTTATTTTATTTGGCTTATAATTGCTTACTCAATGTAGTATTTCATCTCGGTGTGTCTTTGATATGATTTAAATCAAATGCCTCGTCATTATAATTCGCTTCGGACAGCGAAGAAAGTGATAGAGGTTATTGAAAACAAAAAAATTTCGATTGACAAATTAGTCGGTATTCTTGACACAGCAATTATAGGACTTGAACAGCGGAACTTTGTAACTGAACACGAAATTATGTCTGTTTATAGAATTAAAGAGAATGTATTATCACATAAAAAAAATGAAGCAGCAACTTAAAAAAACTTACATTGAAAGAAATGTTTAATAAAGTAAAGAAATAAATATTAAGCTTTTTTTTTGTAAATTTTGATACCCTTTAGATCATAATTGTTCTTTATTTCGTAAATTACGGTTTCATATTTTTAATTTTATAATTTCTGCATGCCATTTTACCAGATTTAAACTGATGATCTATAATCCGGAAAAATCGATAATCCGGAATCGCCGAAGTCCCGACGAGTCCGGATTAACGACTTTTGACTGTATTTAAGTTCATGTTTATGATGGGAGATTTTGAAGGAGAAAATTTTGCAGGTACTAGAAATACATCTACTCTAAGATGATGGCAAACATTTTATGGGTTATAATTTAAAATGTTTTTCGAAAAATTTGTAAAAATTATTTAAAAAGGCGAATTTTAAATATAAATTGTAAAAAATGTGTGAATTTTATTTGGATTGAACCTAAATTTCAAATTCTGAAAGAAAAAAAAATCAAGCAAGTTTAATAATAATAATGAAGATATTGGTAAATATGTACCAGATTGAGGAACTAAAATTTTGAGACCTAATTTTTGAAACTACCTGGGCGATTTTTATGAAACTTAGCACTTTGGCATAATTTGAGGCATAGGATTTAAATATGTAAAAAAAATCGGTATTTCATTTCAGAAAGTCTGATTTTGTGTTGCAATACTTATGTTAGAACAATACTACTTATAAATGTAATATATATCCTAAGTCATGCTTTGGAGACATTAAAAACGGAAGGTGAATTTTGTTAATCAATCTGGTAGAATGGGACAGAACTGTCCCTTTTTTTACCCTGTTTGCTTAAATTTGTTTCCTTCATATTTAAAAGTAATTTTATAAACAAAAGCTTTCTTTCCTTACTCAGCATAGCTTTCCTTCCTTACTCAGCATTTTATTAATCATGCATTTTACAGTAAATTTAAGTTGGTGTGAAATTTTTCTGAAAATATTCTTGGTGCACAATGCAAAGACTTCATATTTAAGTCTGGCAGCTATACAGTATATATACTAATTCAGAAGTCAAACAACAAAAATCAGCGTTATATTTTCAAAATTTTCACAGGACTAGTTTCGATGGTTTTATCGAACCACCATCCTCAGCTGCAAAACCGCAAATGAACAAGATAGGAAATAATGATTAGATAAGATAAGAAAGGCTGGACAAGAATAAGCAAGTGGCGCCATCTGTTGGTGAAACCAGAACTAAAACAATTTCTTTAAAGGCCAAAGGCAAAGATGGATTAGAATTAGGATTGTTAACTAGAACAGAAAGATTTTTTGAATGTGAAATGCCTCTAGAAAATCCAGTTCTCCAATGGACCAACAATGTTGAGCAACAGAAGACTTCTGTGTTTCCTTTTTTCTAACATATGCCTCATGTTCCTTGACGCGAAATTTTAAGGCACTCCTAGTTTGGCCAATGTAAATCAAACCACACTAGCAAGGAATCCTATAAATACCCCAAGAACTCATATCCGAAATGGGGTCCTTGAGTATGGAACTCGGAATTTCATTGATGGGAGAATAAACAACCCGAAAGTTAAATTTCTGCAAAATATGTGCAACTTTGTAGCTAATTGATGGAAAGAAGGAAATGACAACAGCATTTTTATAATCTCCTAAAACAAGAGTGTGCCTTTTAGTGTGTTGAGATGAGAATTTTTTAACTGCTTGATAAATAATGTTGGGTGAAAAGCCCCTGTCAATAGCTATTGCTTTTAAATAATTTAGTTCTTCATCAAGGGCTAGTTTGGAGGAGCAAACTTAAAGAGCACAGAAAACATAGGAATAAAATGAAGCTAAATTTTCTTTAGTCGGATGACATGATTTAAAATGTGGTGGAAGGCAAACCGATGAAGGTTTGTGGTAAACTGTAGTACTGAAGTTGGATGTGTGTACCAGAATGTCGAAAAACGGAAGAGAATTGCAAGTCTCAAGTTCAAAAGTGAACTGAAAAGCAGGATATAATGCGGATTTTTGTTGTTTGACTTCTGAATTAGTATTTATTCGGCGTCTTATTGTGTCTTACATTATATATAGTTCAGTTAGAATCTTGCTTTATGAAGCAAATTTGAGTAAATATGGCTTTCTCTTTCTTCCCATGCAATGCAGTAACCTCCTTGTTTCTCATGGCTTTGCACAAAAATGTCCTGGTTACTCTAATTTTAAAATTGACAGCTAAAATTTTGACGAATCTAGCTAGTGTAATTTCATCGATTCAGTTTTTAGTTAATAGAGAGGGAGAACTGCATTTATTAAATTGTTTAGTTTGATTAAATCTGAAACATAAATATTTTACATTTTGAGAAGTGGTAAATCATTGCTTTTAAACTGAGTTTGTTCATCAAAAATTCATTAAATTCGCATAAAATTTGAAATAAATAAATTAAAAAAATCTGGGCTTCAAGCTGCACATGTTCGGGCGGAGGACTGCGTGTGTTCAAAATTTTACAGCTCTAGGTATCACCATTTTTTCACATTGCAAGGAACATACTCTTACGGATTTGGTATTTAAATACCTTATGTTAGTTGAATTGTAAATTAAATGGTTTTATTTCCCTCGCAGTGCAGCGCGTGACGAATATTAAAAGAAAGCTAAGCCGAAAATTGAAAATACAAGAGCGCACGCATGTAACATTTAATAAATATCTCTTTTTGTTTCGAGAAAGTACTAGAAATTTTTCGCGTGTGATTTTAAAATCTTATAAAAAGGAGGAAAACCTCTCAATTCAGTTAGTCAGTTACTTAGTTTGTTGTTGTTTAGAAAACTGCTCTTGTTGATTGTGGTGAATTCGCGGATTAGCTTTTTTTTCTTCGGCTGTTTTGAATTAAGTTCTCTTGAACATTTGAGTAGTTAAAAGATAACTACAGTCAAAAGTCTTTAATCCGGACTCGTCGGGTCTTCAGCGATTCCGGATTATCGATTTTTCCGGATTATAGATCATCAGTTTAAATCTGGTAAGATGGCATGCAGAAATTATAAAACTAAAAATATGAAACCGTAATTTATAAAATAATGAGCAATTATGATCTAAAGGGTATCCAAATTTACCAAAAAAGAAGCCTAATATTTATTTGTTTACTTTATTAAACATTTCTTTTAACGCGCGGATGCGTAAAGCATACCTTACTCATAGCCGAAATTAGAAAATTGCAACCAGAAAACTATGTGATTTGTATTCGTGATATTTATAATGACGAGGAATTTGATTTAAATCATATCAAAGACGGAGTACATCGAAATTAAATACTACATTTAGTAAGGAATTATAAGCCGACTAAAATAAAAACATCTGCCGTGAAGATAACGATAGTGTTGACAGATCAACTTCCAGTTCATTGCGCGCCGCGACGTGCCCCCCCCCCCGCGCAGAGCAGCGTGAAATTGATAAACAGATTTCGGAACGGTTAGATAAACAAAGGATATGCTTTTATTCATTTTTTGTAGCAATTCGTTTTTTGTTTGATGGACATCGAAACATACTTTCGTTTTCTAGATCCTTTGAGAGCTCCAGCATCGGAAATTCTATTTGACATAATCGAAAGTTCAAGCTTACTTTTAGAAAATTGCTCTTACAGTCTGCAAAAAATAATAAGCCGGATCCAATTCGAAGATTAAGGAACAACGCAATCATCACCATTAACTGAAATAGATAATTAGATAATTTTAGCTTATACCGTCCGTCATACATTAAACGCGCACGCGAAAACGTATTCTGCACTTGCGCAGATGCATATGCGCAGTCGTAAATGTCTTGCGCACACGAGTAAAACGCCTATGCGCATGCGTCAATGCGGCGCATGCGCAGAAAGATTTTAGCTTTGAGGTCCGGATTATAGATCATTCCGGATTACGGGTGTCCGAATTAACGACTTTTGACTGTACTATGAGATATTGTAATACTGCACGAATATTTTAGGAAATTTAAGCATATTTGTTGTGATAATAATAAATTTTTGTTCATTTTTCATCGGACTTGTGCATTCATTTCATAACGAACCCATACGCACGCAACAATACATAGATTCCTCATTATTTAATTACAGGGATTACCAAATTCTGAATGTCAGTTTCTATCTTCTTCTCTGTAATTTAAGCTTGATTTTTCTTTACAGTGAGGTTCTTTTTCTATGGGAATGGAGCATGGCTGCTGCGTTTAGTCGTGGTGAGCAGCTGAAAAATGCACTGAAGCAGTTTTCTTTGTTAACAGATAGTTTTGTACACAACTGTATAAAGCACAGTACAAAGCCTGAATTACGTAAAGCTGCTGGCCTCATTACTGCAGTTGAAAGGCGATCTTGTAAAAACAGTGGATTTTATAGGCATGTTGGCTTGAAAATACTCTCCCACCATTACGAAGAAGTATAAATTTAAATTGTTTAAAAATTTAGTTATTCATTTTATAAATTATTGTTTAATCTTTCATGACATTTAAAAATAATTCATTATATCTTTGAGAAATCATCTACATTTTTGACGGTCTGTTGTTTTGACCCACTTAATAACTAAAATTAATATATTTAATATGCTTTATTATATTCTTTATGTTTAAGATACCATAATTTCTGGAAGAAAGGCTGCAACAGCGTAAACGCTGCACTCGAGAAAAATGGCGGGAAAAAAATTTAAATTATACAGAAACGCCGCATCAGCGTAAATGCCGCAATAGATTAAATTGCACGTGACATCGTCGTGGGCCGCATAGATGCAAAATCTCAACCTAAGACCTGATATATGACATAACAGTTAAGAAAAATGCATGAAATGAAACCATAATTCAAAAATAAATTAAAGGTAAGAAATGTGGAAAATATATTTACCTTCACGTATATACTTATAATTACCCACTGAAGAAGTCCATATTTGTAATACTCAGACTATATTATAAAAAATGCTGCAACAACAAAATATTAAATTTGGATGACAAAAGGAAATTTTAAATTTTACTTACAAAAGGAATTACAGCAAACTGTACATCATATGAAGCCATCAAAACCTGATTCTTCACTATCTGAATTAAAAAGATTTAGTAATTTCAGCTTCTTTGAACCCTGCTATTATTGATGATGTTTTTTTTACCGATTTCCACGCATTTCCTACCCACTTTGCAACTTCTTTATAAGATGTTCTACGCATTTTACCGCTTTTGGTATACGTATGCAATCCTTCACTCATCCAACACTCCCACCGCTTTCGGATTTCAGCTTTTAAGGATTTATTACCTGACAAATCTAACGGTTGTAAGATTTTTGTCAAACCACCAGGAATTATTGCTTTGGTCGTAGACAATTTTTGACATCTGGTTTTCACTGACTCAAGCAAATGAGCACGCATGGAATCCATTATCAATAACCCTTTTGGTTGGAAAAAAGATCCTATACGACACTGCCAAACTTTTTGTAGCCACTCATGCATGATTGTTTCGCACATCCAGCCATTCTCGTTTGCACAAATAATTATGTCATTAGGAAAATCTCCCTTTGGAATAGTCTTTCATTTAAAAATGATCAATTGCATTAACTTGTTACCGTTTGCGGCACAAGCTAACACACATGTAAATGATGTTTTTTCATGCCCCCTCGTAAGCACAGATACAGTTTTTGCACCAGTTTCATCAACAGTTCTGTTTGCAGGAGAGTCGAAAGCTAACGGCATTTCATCCATATTTATTATCTGTGACTGAAGAAGTTTTTTTTCTCAATAATATCTGTCACATACTTTAGAAAAGATGCCTTATTATCCTGCCAGTCCATTGGTAATTGTTGCCTGACTGTGTTCTAGTATGCACAGAAATATTTTTTTTTCATAAATCTGCTACACCTTCTTTGAAATCATTTTTATGTTCATTCGTTTTGCTATAAATTTAGCTTGTAAGCGAATTTTTACATTTGAAATTGCCATTCTCTTTCCTCGTTGCTCCTTTATCCAGTTTGCAAGGTCGTCCTCTATATTCGGCCACCTTACAGTGCCACTTCTTTTGGCTCGTTTCTGTTGTGGCATATTTTTAAGTTCTTTTTCAGTTTTCCAACGTTGACTTCAAATCATCTCTCGCCCACTTCAAACTCTCAAGCTGCTGCTCGATTTCCAATTTGTTGAGCACGTGAAATTACATTAAGCTTAAAACCAGCAGTATAGCTTCTCTGTCGTTTAGGTGCCATTTTCAAAAATTTTCCGCTTCCTTCTTACTTAAAAACTATCCAACAAGTACTTGTACCCAAACTGATGGGATCTGTATCTGGCAGAATGCCAAGAAAAATCCATTCATGCTGAAAGGGAAATACGTCAGAGTTCATTATTGCGAGGCAGGTGGAGTCGTGTCCGCCTTTGAAAAAAATTGCAGAAAAGGCAGGGGTGGGGAGAGGATGGGTCCTGGAAGATTCATCGAATGGCAGAGGAGAGAGACTATTCAAACTGATGAGAATGTTGATTTGAAAGGGGGAAGAATGTTATTGTTCTGAGATCTCGTTTAGGGTGAATAAGGCATGTAGGTCCGTTCAGGAAAAAGAATGTAAACAAAATAACGTTTTCGCAAAAAGCAACTGAGTGGTCTTTTGTGTGGAAACAGCACCAGTCTATGCACAATGACAAGGCCATCCAAACTATGTACAATGACCATCATAGGAAATATTTTATTTTTAGTGCACCTAAACGCCACATGGGTAGAAACGCCGCACCCGCTGAAAATTTAAGTTTTAAACATGTAAACGCCGCGTCGTTTCTTCCGGAAATTACGGTAATTTTTTTTAAATCCATGAATTATTATTTTGCTTTCACCTATACATTTCATAGTGACACATAAAGCAATTTCTTTGTACTCTCTGTCTCTCTCTTTTTTTTTCTTTTCTTGTGTGTGTGTGTGTAAATATAAAATATGTTTAATATGAAAATTCTGTATCCGCATTTATTGTGTATGTTTTAACCCGGGAAGACGCGCGTGAGGTGTTTTGGCATCTCACGCTCAAAAAAATTCGCTGGCAATCTCCTCCTATAATCCGAAATGCTTAGGTCCATCAGAAGCTGCCTTCAAGGTCTTGTTCTATACGTCTTGAGAGGAAACAGCAAATTCTGAGCATTGATTATTGTTTAAATAATAGTTTGGGGTGTGCCGACACCCCACGCGTGCTTTCGTGTTACTATTTTTCAGTGTGAGCCATGGCGTGTGCAAGCTGCTCTGTTCGGTCTTTTCCTGATTTGATGTATGATCAAGAAATGAAAAGACTTCAAAAATTATTAGAAGGGGTTTCGTCAGATGAAGATTCTATAGAAGAAGAATTAGAAGATTCAGATAATGAAGATATATTTAGTAATCATGAGTCTGAATCAGAAGAAGAGTGCGACTCTTCAGAAGACATTTCTTTTGATCAAACTATTTTATAGGAAAGGATAAAAATTAGCTCCAATAAGAGATTTATTTCAAAATTTTGTCAAGAATGGACAGAAATTATATCATGTAGGGAAATACGTGACTTTGAACGAAAAGCTAGAACCTTTTCGAGGACGATGCTCCTTTTGGCAGTATATACCTAAGAAACCTGCAAGATATGGTATAAAGATATTTGATATGGTTGATTCTAGAACCTTCTATGCTTTCAACATGGAAATTTACGCATGTCAGCAGCCACATGGGCAGTACAAGAAAGTCATCGGTTCTAGTGAAATAGCAAACCGCATCCTAGCTACATTATACAAATCTGGAAGAAACTGTAATACAGACATTTGGTATACCAGTTATGAATTGGCCAATTTCTTACAGAAAATGATTTGATGAACCACAAAAAAAGAAAAAAAAATTAAAATACAGGAGATGTTACATGTAGTCAAGAGAAAAAGACAGAAAATCAAAAACTATATGCAGGAAGTGTAAAAAAACATATGTCAAGAGCATTGTGAAATGGCTTCATGTATATATATTGCAAAATATCAAATGCTTTTTGGGCCTGATTGATTTTAATATTAATTATATAACTCGTTGTTCATGTAATAATTCTGCATAATTTGGATTATAATTGCATTCACAAATAAAAAACAAACACTTCTCATAGAAATCAATGATTCCTAGACATTTGAAAAAAAAAAAAAAAAAAATTATATATTTGTTAATTTTAAAATTAGCATTATTTTAAATAATAAATGCTGCAATTAATATAGAATGCATTTTTTACTGAATTGTAATAATATGTTTAATTTGTACGTCATTTAATTGCTTGCGCGTCCTCCCAGGTTAACAATTCCTAAACATTAATTAATTAAAGAATGCTAATATATAAGAACTGGTAACTTGCATGCAAATTACGAACTGGTAACTTGCATGCAAATTACGAACTGGTAACTGCATGCAAATTTTAAAAGCAGTCAAAAAATTGTTAAACTTTTTTTCATGTGAATGCCAAGAAAAATCTTCTGTTTATTGTAAAACAGAAAACTAGATACTCCAAAATGGATTATACTTTATACTATTATATTATTCTAGTTATATTTATATACATTTGGTTTTATATACATTTATATACATTAGTATAACTAGAATAGCATAAAATTACTTATTTTTAGTTATTTTTATGTTTTTGGTTTCAGAAAAATGAATGCTATTTTTTGTTGCTATAAACTTAATAATAATGTTGGAGTGCTTTTTTGTTTTTCAATATCTTCTCTAACCATATAAATACTACATGAAAACAGTTTACCTATTACAAAGAAGTTAGCGACATATGAATTATTTCCTTGAGATATAGTTCGCAGAATTAAATGATTTGTAAAATAAACATTTGTTTGTTGTGGACCGATAGTCCTTCCCTCCCCCCAAAGAGTAAAATTACAAAGCAAAAGAGGAAGGAGGAAAGAATTTTTACTGCATGAAAAGTTTTGTTGGAATTGCACTATCCATTTAAAAAATGAAAGTTTAAATTTATATTTGCCATTATACCTATTATAACATCTTTTGATGATTGCATATCTATGTGTTAGATTGACAGTATCATAAAATTAATTAAATGCTTTTTAATTTTTTAATAATTGTAACTGTTTCTTATGAACCTCTATTAATAATTGCATACCCATGTGCTAACTCGGGTTCCCATCGGTGTTGTTACTGACCCTCTGGGGGTGGGGGGTTCGCTGAAATTTTAAAGAGTCAGTGATGATCTAATTCATAATTAGTCATTTATAGATAGATATAAAGCTGTGTCCATACAAAGCCAAATCTTATTCAGAACCCATAGAAATGCTAAGATTTGGAATTTAAATCATTCGGGAGAACATTAGTAAATTTTACTCTTCTTACCCAGTGGAAGCAGGCTTTAGTCAAATCAATAATTGACTATGGGAAACAAGAAACTGATTGAAAATTTTTGAGAGAGGTGATTTAAAAATTATATTCAGCAATTTTATGTCAAATATTAAAAAAATTCGATCAGTACATCTAGCGAAGCCATCACATTCATTAAAATCTAACTTTTATACAATTAAAATAAGTGATTTTTTATATATATTCTGTTTAAAATAATGATAATATGCTATTTTTTTACTTCTTTGTATGAAATAAAAAGAAGTATTGTAATCGCGAAAAGTTTCAGGCAGCATATTTCAACGAAAATATCCCCATTTTGACCTCTTTCAAATGCAATTTAACGATGTATTTCCGTGATATCTGTATGTAAGGACAGAATAAAACACTCTTTTCCTCCAAAAAAATTATAAAACTGCTTTAAAATGAATTCTGAAGAGAATGTGTACCTCATATTTTGGTTGCAATCGGCCACACCAAATGTATATAAATATATTTATATGTATATCCACTATGTTACCCGTCTCAGTGATCTCAGTTGCTTTACTCTTATATGTTTGTAAATTGTACAGTTTTTGCTTTAAAAATGATTGAATTATGTTGTTCTTATCTTCCGGTTAAGGTTTTTATGCCTTTTGTAAATCTGTATGCAATATTTTTAGAATTATCAACAATTTTAAAATTGTTTAAGTGCCACTAAGCGTAATAATGTTTTGATGGTGGCCATTGCTCTTGTTTACATTCGAAACAGCAGGATAGCGGATTTGTTGCCAATCTTGAGGAACTTAGCTTCGCAACAGCAAAGATAACACCTTCATTTATTATTTAAATCACGCTTAATTCTTTCTGGAATTTTTTCGAGGAAATAAGCGTTTAAGATTTACTTCGTAATTTTTAATACAGATATTTTGAGTTTTTATGTATTTTTGCATTGTCACGAAGTGAAAACTGAATTAATTGAATGAGAAATACTCAATCGTCTGTGAAAAACTGTTTCTTTTTTGTTTTGTTTGCTTAATTTCTTTTATTCATCATTCTAGCTTTATTATAGTATTTGAATAGAACATGTGGCAACGATTAGATAATTCTTTAAATGATATAAATTTTGTGCATTCTGAGTTATAATATGAACAAAATATAAAGTAAACCTAGTGGCAGAGTGTTGCTATGGTAAACAAAGTGAATTTTAAAGAATGCATTTATTCTATTGTGGTTTATGCGCTGTCGGTGAAGTAGGTTTAATTCAATCTAATAAGTTTAAATGAAATGCAAGAAAAAAATGCATATAATTTAATATTCTGTACAAGGAAGTCGTGGTGTACACATCAGATTTTTTTATCAAAAAACATTGATAAACAATTTTTTATTCAAAACACTTTTCTCGTGTTCTTAGTTTAATTGTTATCTAAGTGGTTTATGTACAGTTATTTGTATTATGGTTATGTTGTATACCATGTAATATATATGTAGGAGTTCGATGAACAAACCCATCCTCTTAAGGGGTTGGCAATCCCTGCTCTAGGCGATTGATATCGTAGTAGTAGTTAATTATGCCTTTTTTGTATTAAATAACTTGTTTACCATCAAAATTGCAACATTATGAAAAAGATAAAATTTTTCTGTTTTTTAATGTCTTACAAAAAAGGATGAAATTATCTGGTTGTTTGGTTGCACAAAACATGCAGAAATCAATATTATTATGGACAGCAATAACTTCTTTTGTTCTTAGAGAAGCTAGGTATTAGCTTGAAACTCTCCAGCTGATGAAGTTTCAGTTCTTTCCCAGAGTTCATGTTTAATAGTGGAGGGTACTCATTGTAACATCACTTGTGCAACCGTGAATCATGTATGATTTGTTGGTAAAGGATTTGGTGAATGAGTTAGTGCTGTAATGAAAACATACTGTTTTTCAAAGAAATGTTGAATACTGCTTACAAAGCTATAAATCTGTGCTCGCCTTTTTTTTTTTTTTTTTTTTTTTTTCGCTGTGTACATTTTGGCTTTTCTGTATTCGAATTCAAACCTCAAATATCATCTAGAATGAGACAGATTTAAATTTAGTGTGAATATAAAGAATGGGTAAACTTTATTTCCGTATGAAGAGCCCCACTATCTTTTCTCTTTAACACTGCTTTTGGGCGGTATTACTTGTGCATGCATATTTGTTGCATTGCTAATCATTTTCATGTCCCACTTTAACATATATGCAAATTTCAGGTCTGTTTTATGTTTCGTTCCTTCATTATAGTTCTAATGACAGTTCAGTGTAGTTTATATTATGCAATATATTATGTGAGAAAGAAGCATCTCAACTAATGAAATCATTTTCTTTATTCCAGTCAGAAATTTTAAGTAACCTATGCCAGTTCCTGCCACTTGGAAATAAAATGGTGTTAAATTTTTATGGAGACTTGACTCAAGGGAACTCTGATGAAGTCACAGCTGATGATATTTGCGTGTGTGTAAGTTTTCTAAAAGCTTTTTTTCAGTTCATTATATATCTAAAGTTAAAAATATTCTTACATATATATAAAGCTTTTAAAAATGTTAACACATAACTAAGTTTTCTGATAAAAGGATTAATGTGTATTCAGTTTTTTTTTAAACTTCCGGAAAATATGTATTACTGTATTTAGAATGCTTGAAAATTTATTTCGTCTGTACCAAACAAGTACTGGGGATAAATATTCAGTTTATGCAGAGGTGATTGTGCTTTAGATATAGCTGGAATTCTGAATTTTTTGCTTTTCCTGAAATTTAGATATACTGTATCCAAAAATTCTTATGATTATCATTATGGTATTTAATCATTATTATCATTAGGATATGCAGTTTCGAACACGCAATTACCATTAGAGAAGTCAAACAACAAGAATCAGTGTAATATTTGTAAATTTTTTGGATCTAGTTTTGATGGTTTAAACTACAGAACCATCTTCATCAGCTGCCTAAGTGCAAATGAACAAAATATCATTGTCTTATTCATTTGCACTTAAGCTATATTTATCTCATTCATTTGCACTTAGGCTATATTTATCTTATTCATTTACACTTAGATAGCTGAGGAAGATGGTTCTGTAATTAAACCATTGAAACTAGTCCTGCAAAATTTGCAAATACTACACTGATTCTTGTTGTTTGACTTCTCCAATAATCATTATTCACATGTTATTTTAACCTATATACTTACCATGTTTGAAATCGTATGTACACGGTGCAAAAAAGAAAAAATGGACAATTCTGTATCTCCCATTCTACTGGGCTGATTGAAAAAATTCTAATTGCGTTTTTCATGTCTCAAAAACACGATTTAGGCTATATATTAGATTTATATATAGCATTGTTCTAACATAGGTATTTTGACACAAAATCGTACTTTTTCTGAAATAACATAGCAATTTTTTTTTTTTTATGTTTCAATTCTATGACTCAAATTATGCCTAGATATTAAATTTTGTAAACTTTGGTGCGAAATTTACTGAGAAATTAAAAAAAAAAAATTATCTTGGTGCAAACTGGAAAAATTGCACCAAGATAAATTCACATGGCGAACTTCTTAATATATGGCAACCAATTTTCTTTCCCTTCCGTTATGCCAGAATGGGGGGGAAAGGGCACCTCATTCCTACCTTTTTACATTGTGCATGGGTGGGAAAAAAGTCACATCGTTACTACTTTCAAATAATTTTAGCAAAGTGTTTAATTCACATTTGATGTTTTATCGCTTTCAACAAATATGCCAAATTTCAAAATGTGCCAATATATAAATTCATGTCTATCTTCGGAAATTTTGAATAAATCTAATTTTTTGCAGATATGTTTAGAAATACGTCTACTTTAAGATGATGGTAAAAATTTTATAGATTATAATTCAAAAAAAATGTTTTTAATTAAAAAAATTATAAAAATACAAATTTTAAAAATAAATCATAAAAAAAGTGGGTGAATTTTATTTGGTATGAACCTGAATTTTGAAATGTGAAAGGGAGAATCAAATAAGTTTAATAAAAAAAGAGGTTAATAAATACACCAAACTCAACCTTTAGGAGGTAAAATTTTGAGAGCTAATTTTTTAAAACCTACTCTTGCGATTTTTACAAATCTTTGTAGTTTGGCGTAATTTGAGTCATAGAATTGAAACATGGGAAAAAAATTGGTATGTTATTTCAGAAAAAGTCCGATTTTTGTGTCAAAATACCTATACTAGAACAATGCTATGTATAAATCTAATACGTATCCTAAGTCGTGCTTTCAAGACATGAAAAACGCAAGTTGAATTTCGTAAATGAGCACAGTAGAACGGGAGATACAGAACTGTCCCACTTTTTTTTTTTTTTTTGTGTGTGTATGTGTGTGTGTGTGCAGTGTACCATGTCATCAATTTATGTGGACATGATAATTTGTATTAGTATAAAAAGTTTTAGGAATTTTAGAAAACTTAATCCATTAGAAAAATAATTTAAAGTTATTTTGAAAGAGGCATGTATGGAATGGGCTGATTATATGAAAAAGTAATCAATCTTCTTAAAATTCAATAGAGTGAATCCTTTTTTGCACTTTGCTTTGATGAAATTAGCAGACAATTTGTGAGTTGTCATTTCAGGAGACCAAAAATGTTACTGTTACTCAGAGTAATCAAAAATTGTCAAGACAGACAGTTATTTGTCCTGTACAGGAGGGGAAAACTGATATTGTAAATTTTGGGCTGAATTATTCAAGCTGAAAGAAGACGGAAGACAAAAATACCCAGTATTGCAATTTTAAATTTGTTTTAGCTTTCCTTTTTTTTTTTAACCAAATGTTGAAAGTGCATTTAATTGCATAGATGAGAATATGACAGAATGTGAACCATCCTTGAATATTGACAGCCTGGTTTCTATGAAGACTGAAATGCATTACAAAGTCCGAGATCTGGAATTATTGGGACTTGAGAAATTTCCAGATTTTAGATCATCAGTTTAAATCTAGTAAAATAACATATAGACATGGTAACACAGGGGTTCACATACTGTTTAGATCAGATACTAAAATGCTAATCCCCTCCCAAACCACTCGAGGGCCAAAAGTATGATCCTAGCCAACATCAGTATGTCAGTTCATTATCATTGGCCACAGTGCCACTACATAGCCAGAAGGACTTTGAAATTGACATGCTGTGAATCTCAGCTATAAGAAGAAAAACTGAATTTAGAGTGCACCTACTTCTGTTATTGAGTATTATATTCTTCATTTCTAGACTTTGTAAGAGGGGAATTTTTCATCTTATTTTAATTTTATTTATATGTTTACTTACTGGGTTGGTGGTATGGAGGTCTGGATATTAGATCATTCTGTATATTGGGCATCTGGATTTCAAACTTTATACTGTATTATTTATTCTCATTAAATAAAAAAGCGTGGAAATTGGATGAGAAAAATCCCTCTCAAGGCTGTGAAAAGCTAGATAGCATGCCTAAATTTTTTTCATTCCATGAACCATTCTTTTTTTATTAGCAGTTTTTTATTTGCACTTGTTCTTAATAATTAACTGAAAAGTTCCATCATTAAAATGGCTTGCTAATCATACTGAACTTTCAAGAAAAATATATCACAATTCTTCGCGTAATTTAAATCCTTCCTCTTTCTTCCGAGAAAGCAAGGGAAATTTACCAATTATTTTAAGCAAAGTTGAGAAACTAAAAATTTATAAAAGTAACTAGTAAAATGTAAATTAACTGTACTGTATTTTTATAATTCTAGACTAAGTGAACAGACTGTATAGAAGAGAATACAACTTTATTAATGGTAATTAAGTACTACAGTACAAAGTCTTTAATCCGGACTCGTCGTGACTTCGGCGATTCCGGATTAGGCGTTTTTCTTAATTATAGATCATCAATTTAAATCTGGTAAGATGGCATGCAGAAATTATAAAATTAAAAATATGAAACTGTATTTTATGAAATAAAGAGCAATTATGATCTAAAAAGTATCAAAATTTACAAAAAAAAAAAAAAAAAGCTTAATATTTATTTGTTTACTTTATTAAACATTTCTTTTAATGTAAGTTGTTTAAGTTGCTTCGTTTTGTGTGCTAATACTTTCTCTTTAATTCTATAAACAGACATAATTTCTTGTTCAGTTACAAAGTTCTGCTGTTTAAGTCCTGTAATTGCTGTACCGAGAATGCCGACTAACTTGTCAATCAAAATTTTTTCATTTTCACTAACCTCTTTGTCACTTTCTTCATGCCTTTATCCATTTTTTGCAGCAATTCAACTTTTTGTTTGATAAACATCGAAACATGCTTTCACTTTGTAGATCGTTTGGCAGCTCCAGAATCGGAAACTCTTTTTGACATAATCGAAAGTTCAAGCTTACTTTTTATAGAATTGCTCTAACAGTCTGCAAAAAATAATAAGCCGGATCCAATTAGAAGATTAAGGAACAGCGCAATCTGCAACATTAACTGAAATAGATAATTCTAGCCTAGCTTGTGCCGTCCATTATACATTAAACGCGCATGCGTAAACGTGATGCAAAAACAAAGTTCAAAGTTATAAAAACATGTAGCAGAAATAGCAATAGACCAAGGACCAAGGCATTTGGATTACGGAGTACCTTTGCAATTAATTGCAATTACCTCCACATCATCGTTCAGATAAATGAATTAAATAAGAGAGAAGCAGTCGCTAAAGTTGATGAAAGAGCAGATAAGCTAAAGTCAGAAATCGCTTAGGGTCCTCATTGTTAGGACACAGGAGGAGAGTACAAGAGTTTATCACAATTGAAAGCCTTTAGCCCCCTGTAGTGAGTCAACTTCTTGCACTCAGTAACAAAAGAGAAGGCAACCGGGACGCTAAGAGCGTGGATGGTTGCCATGGAGACAAAACAGCTGATGGAGTGAGGCGCAGTTGAAGGAGAACCAGTTCTCGGGAAAGGTAAGGTATTGAATCCAAGCGTTTAGCTAAGAGCCTTGGGATGTTCGGAACGGGGACAAACGGGGTCACTGACCGAAGAAGGAGAAAGAGGCGAAAAAGCGCAGTTGCGGAGAGTTTGAATGAAAGTTAACTGGTGGATTAACTGGAGCAAGCTTAGAGCAGCGAAGAACCGTAGGGAGAATTTTGAATGGAAGCGATGTAATGCGTGTTTTGCGAATTTAATTTAATATTGAATCTGCAGTGTAGTTCAGTGTTGTAATAATCAGTAGTATGCATGCTTTTAAAGTATTAATTTGGGATAGATAATTTAGCAAGTTAAGTAATTAATTAAAAAATTATTTAAAGTAAAAATAAAGTGAAAATTGATGAAGTCTGGCAGAAAAGGTCTTCGCAAGAGCAGGTATGAATATTAAAGAGCAGCGAGAAACGAAGCCAGATTAGGTCTGGGGGGGTAAGATCAGTTAAGAGTAGCCGAGTTAGGCCCGTGAAGTACTTATATTTAATTCAGATTAGTTTCCCCGGTCAAGCAGGCAAACCCTTTT